CACACACACACACACACACACACACACACACACACACACACACCCCCTCTCTCAACTCCCCCTGTGAATTTGCCATTCCCCATGTGTTGCCCTCCTAGATTGCCCAGTTATCAGGAAGAAGCATGAAGAGTTCTGGAAAAGCAAGCTCAGCCCTGGGTGGGGCCTCAAAATAGAGCCAGCCTGTCCAGCCCCCTCCCCCTATTATAACATATTTACATAAGGACAGCGAAAGTTTGGAAGTAGAGGCTGTAAAATGAGTCCAGACCAGGTGATTAACTTCCTCCCTGCCAGGGGCTGATTAGGAAACAGCAAAGGTTGAGAACTTTCTCTTCTAACAAAACTCTAGACACCCACAGACTGCTCCACACCACAGGCAATCACAGGAAAGCAGCCTCTGGACCGGCTGGGGTCGGTCTCCCAGGCTCCCTCTGGCTGACTGAATTACTACCCTCAGTGCGTATGAGCTAACTCAAAGTCCAGGCTTGGGTACAGAAGACGGGACTGTGTGTGCAGTGCTCAGCCTGTGTTTGGTGAATGGAACCTATTAACTCTCATCACTGACAGTGCTCATAAGCTCATAAGTGCAAGAGCTACACAAAGAACTGGCCAGTCAAATGAACTCCATAGAAAATATTTTATTATTATCAAAAGCTCTGTGGCACGGCTTTGCAGAGGGGAACACACACCTCCTCTTCCTCTGTGGCCATGACAATAACACAGGACTGACAAGTGGAGTGTACCAATTCTGATCACCGCGGGACACATTCTGTGCTACCTACAGATAGATCATCAGGCCTCAGACCCTCAAACGGCCAACACTACCCAGGACCCTGGGAAAGCCACTGCCACACAATCTCACCACCTCCTATACAATTCAGAGTTCCAGGGAAGAAAGCAGGTGCAAAATTATATTTTCTTATGGGGGGGGGTGGTGGTCTTAGGGCTTGAACTCAGGGCCTGGGCACTGTCCCTGAGCTTTCTTACTCAAGGCTAACACTATCAGTTGAGTCTGCTTCTGGCTTTTTTGGTAGTTAAATGGAGATAAGAGTCTCATGGACTTTCCTGCCTGGGCTGGCTTTGAACCTTGATCCTTCAATTGCAGCCACCTGAGTAGCTACGATTATAGGCACGAGCCACTGGTGCCCAGCTTCTTTATGAAAATAAGGTAGTCATTGTGGAAAAATCAAAATACCACCATCTAAACCAGTGGCCAAGGATCCAGTCCTTGTGTGTGGCCAGGGATTTGGGTAGAGAAAGGTAGACGGGGTTGCTGGAGCTGTGATGAACGCATGCTCATCAGAGACCAGCTTTCCCATGGAAACCCTGACTCCCCCTTTCCAATGTCAGAGTGAGTACCACCCTTTCTGCTTCCCCACTGGGACACAGGTGACTTCCTTATAGTCTGTTGGTGCAGAGGGTAAGAGACAGAGGGAACGTGGCCTGGAAGGTCTGCTCAGTCAGGGGGCCGGGCCTCGGGGGTCCTCTCCTGTACCTCATCGTATTGTGGTGGTGGCGTCAGAGGCTCAATGGACGGGGGTGGGATGTTTTTGTCAGGGAGGTTGATTCTGAAGTCTTTGAGGTGAAGTTTCTCGGACTTAATCCTTCGAACTTTCAACGGCTTCAGGCGTTTGGCCATCTTGGAGTTCTGCCGATCAGGGGGCTGCCCTGGGCCCCCCTCGGCATCCGCTCTGGCAGCCGTGGGGGTGGATTCATCCAGCCCCGTTAACGACTCATAGGAGGGCAGAGAGACTCCCATCCCCGGGCTCTGCTCCAGTGCCCTGGCGCCCGAGTGGCTGGAATTCATTACTTCATCGTAGCTGGGGACATAGTATCGGGCTGACGCTTCCTCCTCCTCCTCCTCTTCCTCCTGGCTGCAGAGGGATAGACAGACAGACAGACAGACAGACTGGTGATCAGAAGCCTTGCAACCTCACTTCAGCTCCTGGGAGGCACCCAGGCTTCACACGCCACTGATGGGTCCCAGGAATACCAAAGCTAATGCTCCACCTGCCGTTTCTGTAAAAGCTTAGCACTCACCTGCCATGTTATATAGTTTTGTGTGCCTTGGGCCAAAGGATCAGATAGGCCTAAGTACTCAAATGCAGATGTGGTGTGTTACAGTCCCCTAGAGACCTGGGGGTATCTTGATGCCAGTGTTGTGGCTGGAGGGATGGGCCTTGGTCATGCTATTAGGAAAGGGAGGGTGGGCAGGAGAGGAGCTCACACCTGTGGCTACTACATCCTGTCACTTGAGGGTTTTGGCATCAATTTCCTTTGCCTGGGAGCCTTACAAAGGCGACCACATGCCAGGCCAGGCTGTTTATTCCAACACCCAGCTTGTCCTTTGGCCAAAGATGACAAGATTATATAACACAGACACCAATCTGAAGCAACATGGTCACCCCTAGGGACCAAAGAAGCATCTGGACTGTAACATTTGCATATATCGTAAGTTATAAGTTATTCTGCAATTGTACCTTCCAGGTTCCTCCCAAAACTCAATAAAATCAAACTTGCTCTCATTAGAATGTTGAATGGGAAAAATTCACCAATTCAGGAACCTTTTTTTTTTTTGGTGCTAGTGCTGGGGCTTGAACTCAAGGCCTAGGTCCTGCCTCTGAGCTGTTTTGCTCAAGGCTAACACGCTACCACTTGAGCCACAGGGCTACTTCTGACTTTTTGGTGGTTAACTGAGTCTCGCAGATCTTCCTGCCTGGGCTGGCTTCAAACCTTGATCCTCAGATCTCAGCCTTCTGAGTGGCTAGGATTACAAGCGTGAGCCACCAGTGCCTGGCAACTCAGGATATTTTAAAAAATGCTTTCCATTTTACAAGCAGTCATGCCAAAGCTCTCTCTGAGGCTCCTCCACCTGACCCTGCAGGGTGGCCCTGGCTGACCCCTGAGGCCACCTTGTTGGCCCTCAGCTCCCTCCCGTTTACCTTTGGGAAGGCACTCGCCTGTGCTCCTGGCTGACCGGCATGGGGACAGGGAGTGGCTGATTTCCCTTCTTTGCTCTTCCCTGTGTCTCCATGGTTTCCAACACAAGCTAGTGTGACTGTGACGGTTAGCTCTATGTGACAGCCTGGGCTGCTCAGGCCAGATGCTGTTTCTGAGTATGTCTCTGAGGATCTTTCCAGAAGAGATGTAGCCTTGAATCTATGGACTCGGTTGGGCAGCAGCCCCCCGCCCCAGTGTGTTGGGCATGGCCCAACCCATTGAGGGGGCCACAGAATTGAAGGTCACACTATCTCCCTAGCTGGGCAGCTCCTCTCCTCTCCTCTTGCCCTGCTCAGATGGAGTTAAACCTCCAAAAAGCTTTCCTGTATGGTGGTTAATTATTTCCTATCTATCTATCTATCTATCTATCTATCTATCTATCTATCTATCTATCTATCTATCTATCTATCTATTTTGGTGGGATTGGAGTTTGAACTCAGAGTCTCCAACTTGTTCAGCTTGCTTGTTTAGCTGGTACTCTACCACTTCAGCCCTGCTTCCCACCCAGCTTTTTGCTGGTTATTTTGGAGATAGAATCTTGTAGATCTTTGTGGTTTCTAAATGCAATCCTCAGATCTCAGCTTTCCTGAGTAGCTAGGATTAGAGCCATGAACCACGGGTGCCCGGCCTTGGTGGTGGATCCTGACTGTCATGTGACTGGATTGAGAGATGCTCAGGATGTTGTCAGTAAAGCACATGTCTGTGGCTGTCTATGAGGGCATTTGCAGAGGTAATTAACTTAGAAGGGACGAGTCCTCTGGATGTGGTCACTTTGGGTCACCTGTCTTGGCCAATGTGATAGGCACAGAGAGAGAGAGAGAGAGAGAGAGAGAGGCAGACAGACAGACAGATACAGAGGCTGAGAGACAAGAGACAAACATACATGGGGAAAAGAGAGGGAAAGAGAGAAAGGAGAGAGGGAGAGAAAGGGAGAGGGAGAGGGAAAGGGATGGAGAGAGAAAGAGAGAGAGAGAGAGAGAGAACTAGATTTAACTTTTAAACCATCTTCATGGCATTTTGGGGTCAAATTCAATATTGTATCCCAACCTTTTTTCCTTTTCTTTTTGTTGGTTGTGGGGCTTGAACTTTGGGCCTGGGTGCTGTCCCTCGGCTCTTCAGCTCAAGGCAAGTACTCTACCACTTGAGCCACAGCGCCACTTCCAATTTTCTGGTGGTTAACTGGAGATAAGTGTCTCACAGACTTTCCTGCCCCCGCTGGCTTTGAACCACGATCCTCAGATCTCAGCCTCCTGAGTAGCTAGGATTACAGTCCTGAGCCACTGTGCCCAGCTTATCTCAACCTTTCCAAATCAAAGCAAAACATACCCAGCATGCTTGGGCAGGCAGACAAGCACCCGCACTGGTGCTATGTATGGCTACCCCAGGCCTTGCTCAGTTTCTTGGGGTGTCCACATCTTGGCACACCTGTAATCCAATCCCTCTGACTTGGGCAGCCCTAGGTTGTGTACAAATGATCAGCAGTTTCCCATGGCCTTTGTGTTAGAGACGGAGAAGGCAAAGCTAAACTAAAAAAAGCCAAACTAAAAAACTTCCACCCTCAACAGTCTGCGCTGGGCATGAGCCAGCTCGGTGGTAGAGCACTTGGCTACCATGTACAGGATCCAGGGTTCAATTCCCCAGTACTGCAAAAATCAAAACAAAAGAAACATGAATGTGACCCTTTCCTCCAGCCTGGGACCAGTCCATCCTCACCTGTCCTCGTCCTGGGCACGGGGCACGGCTCCCGCCTGCTGCTGGATGCGCGCCAGTTCCTCGCTCCGCCGCTGCTCCCGCTTGTCCCGGACACTCAGGCAGATGGACAGCAGCAGCAGCGCCACGCCGGCCCCGACCAGCACGTAGGCCACGGAGAAGGTCTTGCTCTTAAGGATCCCGCTCCCGATCTCCGTCTTGTTGCCCTGAGCCGTCGGTTTGTCGGTGCTGAACCCCGGTACCAGGTTCCACATGGCCATGATGACCCCGAGGACCAGCATTCCCAGGCCGATGGCCGTCAGCGCATAGTGAGAGCCACTGGCCTTGGATTGAGCCATCCTGGCGGTGGGAGCCGGGCACGGTCCGGCTCTTAGAAAGGAAATAAATAAATAAAAAGCAGAAGCAATTGATAGCTCTCAAGTGCACGGGAGACAATCTCTAGGGCCACAGGAACGAATCATCAAGAAATGGTTGCCCACAAAAGCTCCAGACATCCTGTGTGGACAGCGGTGGCGGCCGCGGGGCCTGGAAGGGGAACGGAAAGGGCCAAGAGAAAAATCAGTCCACAGCCATCCTGGCTTTTGCCCTGCCTCGGATGCAGCTCAGGTTTCCCTCAGGCTGCATCCTCAAGTGAGCAGGGGGTGGCTGAGCAGCCAGCCCCACAGCCAGAGCAAAATCTGGGCCTACCCCGCAGGGGCAGCAAGGTCAGAGCTCCGGGCACTGAGACATTCCTGCTTAATAGAGAGCAGGAAAGCCTCAGCCCTCCCTGGAGGCAGCGAAAGGCAGTGAGCAAAGGCTGAGCCAAGATCAATCACTGTCACTAACTGCTTGGAGTGACAGGGCATTGGCCAATGGTATGCCCCTAGAGGCTGTGCACCGCCCTCACTGGCTTCCTATTTAGAATAAGGTTCTTGGATACTATAACTCAGGCTGGGGCTTGAACTCAGAACCTCACACTCTTGCTTGGCTTTTTCACTCAAGGCTGGCACTCTACCACTTGAATCACTTCCAGCTTTTTGGCTGCTTCATTGAAGATAAAGAGTCTCACAGACTTTCCTGCCTGGGCTGGTTTTGAACCTGGATCCTCAGCTCTCAGCTTCTTGAGCAGTTAAGATGATAGGGGTGAGCCACCACACTCGGCTAGTTCTCTAGTTTTCTGATCACCCCAACTCAGGGGTCCCTTCCAGATGTCCCCAGAAACCCCCAAGGACTATGTCACAGGTCTCTCATTTGGTCACCCATCATTGTCATCTCTGGGCTTGGCACATAGCAAGAACTCAAATAAAGTGCCGTGAAATAAGAGACCCCCCCCACCACCAGAAGCCACCAGCAAAGCAAGCCTTTCTTCAGTCCTTTTCTGAAAGGCGCAGAAGCTTGCATGTCCCTGTTGAGCTTGGTGCCAGCCGGACCAAGAATCCGTCTCTCCATGAAGCAGCTCTAAGCACTGAGCTCAAGGGAGCAGACAGCAGCCCTGGGCCCCCACGGAGCCAGGTTGGCCCAGTCACTAGAACACTGGGACCCGAGGCACAGGCACTGGCCTTTGCTGCTCACCTGTCCTCCGGCACCCCCTGCAGCCACCCCTAATCACAGGGCACTGTTGGACGGTACAGCCGGTGAGGCTGGGGAGGGGTGGATCCTGTTTCCAGTCCTGCATTCTTTCCAATCTTTCCAAAAGGATGCTAACCAGGACGCCTGAAATCTGATGCGGAGGTATTTTCTCCGTCAACCCCGTGGAATTGGCCACTTTGTGAAGAGATACTCTCAAAATATTTGGGGCAACATCCTTTATCAGCTTGAGGTTCGAGCTTTCTTTTTTTTCCCACTAGACAAATATTTTTTGTGCATCCAAGAACCTGTCCAGCAGCATGCCAGGCACTGGGGAAGCCAGGGAAGGACTAATGGGGTGAACACCAATGGGGGCTGCTCCATACAGGGTATCAGAGGCAGGCAGTGTGGAGTGCTGGGCTTGAGACTTCACAGAGTCCTCTGAGAGGGGAAAATACCACTGGTATGGCAGGCTTCACCCCTACCCAGAGACAAATGGACCAAGAAAATGTGCCAGGCACTGGTGGCTCACGCCTTTAATTCTAGCTACTCAGGAGTCTGAGATCTGAGGATTGTGGTTTGAAGCCAGTCCAATTAAGAGT